TCCTCATTGATATTAAAAATATCTGCAATTTGGTCCATAGTTAATTTGTTTTTAACTTTAAACATCAAAATGAGTATATCTTGCAACCTCCTGTTTAGTAAAGTAGTTAACTTAGCTCTTTTCAGCAAGGTTTCATAACTTTCTGTGGTAGTATTGTACACTAGTCTCAAGGCTCTTTCTTGTAGACGCTCCAATTTACGACTATCTGATGCCGTGCAAAAATGCCACACTAGGTGGCAGTAGGTAAGATGTGGCAAGATAACTGATTTGTACAAAAGTAGTTGGCATTTACTGGGATAAGATTCTTGAGCCTACTTAATATTCCGATCATCCCACCAACTTTCTTACACACACTATGTATATGATCTCTAAAATTTAGGTTTTCTTCTAGGTTTACACCCAGAATCTTGATGGATTGTGACTGTTACACTTTTTCACCACCAATATCCAGATCAATGTTTCTTTCTCCTTTTGGATTTCCAAGAACCATAGCCTGATATTTGTCGCAATTAACTTTTAAAAGATTATCTTGATACCATTTGGTCATCCTCTCACCATCATCCACCAGAATCTTCTCCACGATTTTCGTAGTTTCATTTGCTACAAAGACCTGATGGTCATCCGCATACATCAAGTTGTAGGCATCAGATATTATGTTAGACATATCATTCTGGAAAATGTTCCACATAAGTGGTCTAAACGTGCTTCCCTGTGGACATCCCCTCTTCACCATAACCTAGTCGCTTGTTACAGAACTTATCCTTACTCTATTCCCTCTTCCCTGAAAATATGATCGTATGAGTTGTATGGCTTTATCAGAGAACTTGTAGAACTTGTAGGCCTGCAGCTTATTTATGAGCAACTGAGGGCTAAGAGAGTCAAAAGCCTTGCTCATATCAGATGACAATATGCGGACAATTTTCTTACTGTCTAGTTCTGCTCTCCATGTTTGGGTCATCCTTATCAGCGTAGTGTCACAGCTATTCTTTGCACGATAGGCAGTGATAGCATTGCTGAGTCTGTCATCCATAAACTTACTGACTTGTTGGCCCTGTAATTCTTCATAGACTTTATTCACACATGGCAGCACCGTGATACGTCTATAGTTAATATCCCTTTGTTTATCATTTTTCTTATATACGGGTATCCATTCTCCACACTTAAACTTTGCTATCCATTCTCCATTTCTGATTGCCTGATTAAAAATCACAGAAAGAGATGGAGCCAACTCTTTTGCGCCCACTTTAAGGATCCTGGGGCATATTCGATCATGTGATCCATTCAAAGCAATTGTGCAAGCAAAGTATAATTATAACTGGTGATATTTCTCAAGCAATATTCTCCAATTTTCAAATCTTTTTTATGATAAAAGTCTCTGTGGGAAATGCAACTATTGTAATCTGGTAAGTCTGCCTACTGTATGTTCCTGTTACTGTTAACCAGTATTTATTGAGTCTAGCAGCACCAAAAATTCACTTAACTAGAGACAAACTGTGTCACGATTTGCCATCACTTTTCTTATCTTTCTTTATTCATTCGTCACAGGCAGGGACTATCACTGGTACTTTGTATGAATTGTTTCAAGTTGTATTCAAACTTCGACAAGAGGCTGGATTAACAAAGAAGGCACCAGACAATTCTTCTCAGGTTTCAAATGGTAAAAGTCTTGATATTTTTGTGCTTCACTTTCTATATCAGACAGAGTGCAAAAATTAGGGTGAAATGTTTTTATTTCAAATAAAAAACATAGAGAAAGAGTAGTTTAATGTTAGAGCTCTCTATATACCTTGTAAATTCATTGAATGGTGATTGGAATTTATGTATGATAATTATATTAAGGTTGTAATTGTGATTTGTGCATTTTTCAGGTCCAAGTTCACAAGAAGGAATTTATGAGGTATATGGAATAGCTTTACCTAGTACTTTACACCCAAACATCAACATCCATCTTCTCTATATTGTTCTCTTTACATTTTCCATGTTACTGACAAGGAGAATTTGTTTAACAATCAAAGCTTCTTGGGTTGGCAATGATTTCCTTTATTCTCATGACCTTACTAAATGGTTTACTAGTACTTGTAGTAGTACGTGTCTGTTATGACTATTCTCAATATAGAACAAAACCAGATCTGGTGCATTTCAAAAATGAGTAAAAATGATTATTTAAAAGTTAGTCTTAAGCAGCAAGAGTTGTGTTTGTTTTTTTTATTTCATGCATGGGATGATTATCAACTGTCAATAGTTACTGAAGTCAGAAACATATGTAATCTTCAATTGTTTTAAATGGAAATGAAGGGAAAACTGAAAACAGTCAAACCTGTATAATAAGCAGTCAGTTTTTAAAGTCCCCAAGTTTTTTCCTCTTTATAACAGTGCTGTAATTTTCCTCTCTACTAAGCATTCACCTCTACTTTAAAGCAGTTGTGGTCATGCTTTGCTGCATCTTAACAGCCTGTTTGTAATTTAATTTAATTTAGTCCATTTTCACTGCATTAACTTTTGCAGTGG